GCTGTAAAGCAGGGGTAACAGCGCCCCTGGCGGAGAGATCGTGAACCCAGGTTAGATCGGTAAGAGAACTCGGGGCAGGCGCACACCGGGACAAGGTGAGCAAGTGTGCTAGGAGCACACAGTTAACAGTGCACCGTCTGACTGTATTTAGAATTATTATTACCCGAGGTTTGCGGCTAGGCGGCAGCCTGTTACAACTTTTAATCCAAGCTTTGATTGGAATTAATCATTACATTAAAACCCATTGAGAATTATGAAAGTTCAATCTATTTAAATAATTTCCATTAAGTTATTTAAAGTTATTGGATAAGCTTGCTATTAATAGTATATTATATTGGGATCGAATATGTTAAAATTTATTGAATTGGATTCAGTTAATGCGAATTATTTTATTAAAAAGTATTTAAACTGATTGAAGATTATGCAAGTTCAATCTATTTCAATAATCCCCATTAAGTCATTGGAAATTATTGGATAAGATTGATATAAATAGAACGTTATGTCAGAATTGAATTAAAGTCCATTGAATGGGATTCATTAAATGCGAATATTTTTTATTCAAAAGTATTCGATGTTATTCGATTTAATACATTCAAATCCTAATGAATCCAATCCATTTTAATCACTTTCGATCATCGTGCTATATGTTGTATGTGGTTGGCGGGGCCGCGTGCCGCCGATTAGGTAAGTGAGTGGGGAGGGCGTGAGAAACAGTCTCTCACGCACTATTGCGTCGTTTCTCGCGAGCATTAAGGAAGTGAGCGAGAGCATACCAGCCTAACGCACCGGCACAGTATTCTCGAGAGTGGCCTTTGTCCACCAGTCACGCCATATCTGAGGAAGTCACCTGCCGGCAGAAGGAAGATCAACGCGCCAGCCCAGCGGACTTCGCCAATTAAACAGGTCATACTCTCTCCTCTTGTTTCTCTTCCTTAATCGGTTTTACCCTTTTTGGCTATTCGCGACTTGTGCGCTGTGCCAGGCTCTCGCGGGCCGGCACATCTGAACTAGTGGTTAGGTTTTCTTTCTTTATTGTGTATCGAGTCGGTGATGAAATGGCAAGGTGCTCACTTGCCGATCATTTCATTTAGTTGATAAGAAGATATTGTGTATTAGGTTAAGGTTTGATAGATTGTTCTGTTCGTCCTCGCTCAAGGTAGCGATTTTATAATAAATATATTTGGTTGGTAAAAGGTTAGAGTGTTTATTGCGATCGCCTTTCCTCTCCTGCCTTGCTGGAAGCGATACACCGCCTCCCTTACCTCCCCCTTAAATAATTTGGTGATAGCCGGAAAGAATTGCCGGCCAAGGGCGGCCGACGCTATTACAAACTGAAAATTATTGTCTGTTTTTAATCATTTTTAATCCTACATATTAGGATTACATCAAAATGTATTGAATCGGATACATTCAATGCGAATATTTGTCATTAAAAAGTATTCGATTTAATCCATTTGAATCTTAATTAATTTAATCAATATTAATCAGTTTCAATAATTTTGCTTTATAATATAACATCTTAATTCATTTCAATTAACTTTTGAAAGATTCAGATATAGGATTGAAAATGATTGGTTTATTTTTAATCATTCTTAATCCTACATTTTTAGCAGGGTGTCTAAAGCGTAATGCTGAATTGAAATTTCTAGAGTAAATTGAACAGAATATAAAGAGTTGACATTGTTACTGTTATCGTAAGCAGTATGTTTTGACACTTCAACATTTGGTTCAGACCTGTAATATCTAAATTAAAAAAGAATTAGAAATAATAAATATCAATCTATAAAATTTTAATAATTAAACTTACTTTGACACTGTTTCACAATTACTTTCAACATTTTCAGTGTTAGACTTTGTTTGGACCGAAGTCAATTCTTTCCATTCTGTTCAATTTGCCCTGGAAATTTCAATTCGGTATTATGCTCTAGATATAATTATCTTATATTTATTGACTTATTTATTGTCAGCTGTTCTAGCTATAATAAAGAAAATGTTTCAAACAAGAATTATAATTTACTAAATTTACCATATGACGTATATGAATTTACAGAGCTCAAATAAGAATAAACTAATTAGGATTTGACAATTTATGATATGTTTACATTTTTCTTAATTGCTCAAAAAGTGGTATGAGAATATAAATAATATTTGTTATAATACCTCTTTATTTGGACTTTTACTCTTACTACCAGGCTAGATATCGAATTGTACTTGAAAATATATAATCAGTACTTCCCGAGGCTAACATCAATTCAATATGCTGATGACCAAACAATAGCTATACGAGGTCTGTCCGGAAAGTATCGGGCCTACCTTTATATTTTCGTGCTAGCGTTATTCTTTATCATCTGGTGGCTGGCATCCTTCAAAGTAATCCCCACTTGATTGAATAACACGGTTTCATCGATGTTTCCACCTTTCAAAACAGTCCTGGAACTCACTTTTAGGGATAGCCTTAAGTACACTCGTCACATTGTTTTCAACTGTTGTTTTGTCATCGAATCGGTGTCCTTTGAATGGTTTTTTTAGTTTTGGAAACAGCCAAAAGTCACAAGGAGCTATGTCGGGACTGTATGGAGCTTGTGGAAGCAATGCGATATTGTGTTTGCTCAAAAACTGCTGCACACGATTACAACAAACGTATCATAACGCTATATTATTAAAGGTTATATTACGTTTATTCCGGGAGTGTGTGTTCGTTTGGGGCATGCGAGAAATAGTAGTAACTATCTGTTGTTGGCACTATCAAAATTTTTAGCGATTTGTACGCGTTTGTACGCCATTGTACACACGCGTATGCGCATATGTGGCGAGGGCCTAAAAGAGGCTTATAGACATAATAAAACTATGAAAGCAATCGTTATAGGTAAAGGTCTTTACTTATAGTCACATAATAAAGGTTGTGGTCTGCATCTCAAGCCGTATACCAATGGGAGAGGTCTAAAAAATAAAAAGCTCGAAGTAGCTTTACCTAATCATGCATTGACAGATCTAAATATAAAAAAATATGCTTAACTAATGAAAATTGATGATTTTCAAGGAGTTTTCATGCGTAACGTCTCGCCAGCTAATGGTCCCCCCCTCTATCAAGAGTCGACTATTATGAATTTAGATGATAAAAATGGTCTAGGTATTCATTCGATACCCTACAAAAAGAGAGGAGATTATGTTATATACTTTGATAGTTTTGGTGACCTTCAACCACCTATAAATTTATTATAGGTGGTTTATAAATATTTTATATTATACAAATAAATCTATTTTTCAGTATTCCAATAAAAATTGTTCTTTTTATATTATGCCAAAATTTCACTTATTTATTACTTTAATTTCTGAAAGTATGTTCTCTCCTACCTTAAGATTCGTTCTTATTGGAATAATTTAATTTTAGAGATATTCTTTTTGTTCATATGTGTTTTTCTTATTGGAATGAAATTTATTAAATTAATTGTATATTTAAAATAAATCCATATTGAATATTCAATACAATTAAAAAATTCATATGAATTATCCATCAAGGGTTGCTAGCACAAAATAGAGGCTATCATGCAATAAAAATGTTTATGTCTGATGATGTTTTTGATAATTGATCATACTGTGCTAATTGTATCATTGAATGAGTGAAATTTGATAGTTTAATCTTATTGTCTAAAAATGTGACATGACCTGTGATTTTGCAAGAAATCCACTTAAATCCGATAAAAATCTACTTGGATTTTGCAAGAAATCCATCTAAAATTTATTAAAAATCTACTTGGATTTTGCTAGGAATCTACCTGGAATTCGTTAAAAAACCACTTGGATTTTGCTAGGAATTCACCTGGAAATCCATCATGGAAATCCACTTCAACCCACTTGGAATCCATACAATTCCACATGGATATCCAGCTGGATTATTTCCATAGGGTATTGAACCTTAATCACACATGTCCCGAAATCATCTTTACAAATAATTTTATCGGAACCACCACAATTTTATTCAGCTGAAAAAAATTTCTAATTAAAATACTACGAACTTCAATCAATATACAAAACCTGATACTTTACACACTAAACAACATAGATCTCACTAAAAAAGAACGTTAAAAGCACAAATTATCGAGTGACATAAAAAGCCTACTCAACAACCCAGATCAATGCCAAAATGTCATCAAATTTCTACTAGATCCTCAACTAAAAAGCAAACTGTAATAAACCAGAAAAAATTAAACCACTGTTAATATCAAATGGCATTCATTGTATCAATTATAAATATCATTGTCATTGTATCAATGCAAACAACCATGCCTATACTACAAACTTTGTATATAACTAATATTAATTCTACATAACAAATTAATGTCTGCAACTCTAATAGGGTACCAATGTCACTAATACCCACTCAGGAGGATGCGACTTTAAATAAATAAATAAGAGAAAAAAAAAAGTAGTCTCCTTCTGACTAGGCATTTCTAGCTTCATCGTAATCATATCTAACTTTTCAGTTATAAATTACAACTATAATTGATCAGTATAGCAATCATGTAGCCAGTTCTCTGTTTAATTCATTCATCAGTGTCAAATAAGTCGTTATAAAAGAAACATTAAATCGTTAAAATTAAAAACTCACATAGATATAAGTCATTAAAAATAGCCAAAAATAGACAAGCTATCCAACTTTGAATAGTACTATTATAACACATGCATACATTAGCAGAGGTGTTCCTTTTACTTGTATCCACCCACTATCTATCATATATTTTATGGTTCCATTAAATACATTTCATTAATATAACATTAATAAACTTAAAATTAATTTAATGACTATATTGAATATATTAAAACTCATTGCTTTGCAATTTTTTTTATTTAATTCTGTAATGTTTGTAATTTGTACTGCGGTAGGGTTATACAATTTAATATTAATTATATTTATTGCAGCATTTTTTAAGTTGTCTACAGATTCAATTGCCAATAATTGGTACTGCTATATCATAATATGCTATTAATAGAGATCTTACCTTACGTATATACATTTTTCCTGAAAAAATTGAATAGCCAAAAAGCTTTTTCAGCATCAATGCCAAAACAGATTAACAATTCTTTTTAGACAAAGTATAATGCCTTATACTATGTACTATGAATATTATATTGTAAAAATCACTATCAAGATTTAATGATCATTTTCTGCACCTGAAATTATATTTTCTTTATAAACCAATATACATTTCTCTGAATAAAATGTATGAATTTTTTTTGAAACATACTTTTTAAAAATTTAGAATGATCTTAACTCTAAATAAATTCATAAAATATTTATGTTAAATATAAAGTATTATATTTAATATTTGATTTCCATATTAAACAATTAGAATGTAGCATTTACATGTACAAGCTATTGTTTATGTATATATAACATAAATAGATTTATTATATATCCTTCCATATCACATCTGATTTCATCTTGAAGATAAATTATAAATCTTATTACATTCATTGAAAGAATTATCGGACTATTTATATATTTATAATAATTTTATAATTGATCACTAATAAATACTTTTGTTTGTCTTAAAATCTACATATTTATCATCAATAGAAATCGCTGTACAAGTAATACAAGTAAATACAACAGTACTGCGACTGACATGTAAATTATAACTTTTCAATACATCAAGTTTATATTTATAAGAGAAAAGAATGATAAAGGAATTTTAACAACTTATTGTAAACATTAAGATTTTTATTATATATAATTATAATCTATATGAAATTACATTTCAAGATATGAGAAAGTTTTCTCAGAAGTAAAATGTCTAATAAATAATATATTATATATTAGTCAGAAGTTAGTAAGTTGAACAGCAATGGAAACATTTGGAATATTTAATACATTCTTCAGTATAAATATAATTGATAATAAAATACTTGCAAAAAATGATGAACTTCTTAAATTGGATTGAGTTGTATTGGTGATTTCGAAAGTAAGTTTTCAAACAAGTATGTATTGAAAATCATCCAACCAAAATATTTTAATTATTTTGACAGAAGATAAAATTGTTTTAATTATTAGTTTATTCTGCAGATTCTAATGTAATTAAAGATACCAACAAAATTTTATAATAAATAGAGAACTTTTTCTAATGTTAATTTGTTTATGGATCTGATTTTATTACAGAAATTGTTGGTATCTATCTTTTATTAATAACAAACTTAACGAAAAAGTTATAATTTATAAAATTTTTAAAACTCATCAATAAGATAAAGTAGCTAAAAATATTTGAATCAACTCTTTCAACAATTCAATTGTGTTTATGACTGTTTTGATTACTTTTTAAACATGATAAAAGGTTGAAAAGACAACACCCTTTGGGTGTGTAATATCTTCAAGCTCCTCTCTGCGCTTTTGGTTTGCGCGCGCAACTCACGTGAATTTAAATAGGAATTAAAACTTTGGAAAAGGAAAGACAAAATTTACTTTGAAAGAGGACTTATCTATCCGTAAGCCTCTATATATATATTTTGCGATGCTATAGAAAAATAACAGAGCCAAGTAGACAGTTCGGTAGCGAAATCGAGTCTGAACTCGCGATGCGGAGTCTCAGCTCCGCTTGATACTGCTTGCTGCCATTCGCGCGTGCGGGGAGGGAAAAGCACATCCCTTTTCTGGGCACTGGCGAATTAGGAGGCTGGTTTTCTCCTTCCCTGGCTCTCAGTCTCGACCTCTCTTCTCTCCTCGCTGATGGTCCACACGTGCCGCGTAGCTGTTCGTAATGGTGACAAAATTTAATGGACTTTCGGCGGAAAACCCATTAAATTTTGACGATTTGAAAGTCGTCAAAAAAGTTGTTTTTCCTTATTTTTTGAGCCATATCCTTTACGACCCGCTGTGTCATAGCACCCAAGTGACCATTTATATTTTTTACGGTTATGTTAGCCTATTATGTCTATTCAAGCTCAATATTTATTTGAACGCTCGCCCTTACTTTCTATTTTTTTATGCACGCAGTTTACTACTCTTACTTCACGTTGTAACGGTAGTTGATTTCTATGTAAATAAATCGCCGTCCGTTAACAAAATTTCTATCACCGCTATTTACCCCTTTTGGCCAGCCCCGTGCCGGACGCGCAGCCTGAAAATGAGCGCGAAAGCACGGAACAACAAGAAAGAGCGGTGGCTGTAGGTTCTTAGAAAACTTTGCGCAGGAGAAGGGAACGTAGAGAAAATTCAGGGCTATCGAGTGAATTCGCCGATTTTCTTAGTATATTCTCAGCTAATTTATTCACCGGCTATATTTACACGTGGGCGCACATTCCATACTGGCCGAGAGATTCGCAGCATACAGCCGGCTTATACGCACGCGTGAGAGAGAGACAGACAATACAATTTCGAGTGGCGCGCGGTTGGCACAGTTTATGTGTGTTCGCTTATCGGAATTCACATACTCAATATTATTATATCGGAGGGGACTTACGCGGACGAACGCTGCTGCAGACAGCTTCGCCTTATAATTCCGGCCTGATTACGCGAAGGCCGTCGCCCAATGTTGTCGAGGCCGGGAGGCCTGCGAGTTGATCCCCGTGTGTTGTGGGCGACGAGTCAGGTCTCCTCGCTCGGATGGTGGCTTGCGATTCCGCAGTCCTCGTGCGATAGTCGTGGCAGGATGTCAATCTCAATCACTGTGCTTCTCCTTTATAATTGTCCAACCTCACTCAGCGGTGTCACTACTCCACCCGATTTACCACACGAACAAAAGGAAACGACCGATCTTCGAACACGTGCTACCCGCTTGCCGGTCTCACGTGTATTCTCCCGAGCCCGCGTGTCGCAGCTATCTCTCTCTCTCTCTCTTTCTCGCTGCGCGGGTCTTTTGCGCATGGCGCGCTACTTCAAAAATCGCTCATCTACCTCTTAACGAGCCTACTCGTTACAACGTACCTGACGATACGTGACGTCGGTTCGTCACACTTCCTTCCATAGGACAAGCTGTTTTATCGCAGAGAAAACAGCGCTTCTAACATCAGATTATAACAATTACAGATAGTAATAATAACATAACAATTACAGATAGTCTTATAAAATATAATAACATAAAATCACGCTACAGTCTAAAGAAAAGAGACAGTAAAGGGAAGAAATATATAAGAGGTACAGATTGAGACTACCAGAACGAATGTTTGGTTTTGCTAACGTTGGCTGTATCCAGCTATCTCGTATCTTGTTTTCTAACTGGACAGTAAGTATATGCTATTGCTCTTGGTTTGCTAACCTATAGTATACATAGAAATTTAACAAGTTTGAATATGAACAGCACGAATTTATGAAGCCGAGATTTTGACAATTAACCGGGGTATAACGAGTTATAGTAAATAGGAGTTTACGCGATGTAGATTGCAATTAATTGACTGTTAGATCTATATATTGAACTGCTTTTCACAGTGTAATTAGTCTAAATGTTATGTTACTCTTATAGAAGCGGATTTTAATTTGTTAGCGTGAACAATCTTATATCCCGAGTTCAATTTCAATTTATAGTTGATTTGATCATAATCTTCTACTATCTCAAATGGACCTAGCCAATACTTATCAAATTTAGTGTTACGTGGTTCTCTAAGTAAATATACTTTATCACCTACTTGAAAGCTTTTAGCATTGGACTTGTAGTCATAAATTCTTTTATAATTTTTTTTAGATTTTTTAAGAATTTCAGCGGCTTTTGCTTGAGTATAATTCAAGCGTTGAAGAAGACTATCTACCACGTCATCATATATTCTTGGGGATGTCTGTTTAGCATAGGAGGATGGAATTTGGGCTTCCCTACCAAAGAAAACTTCATGTGGTCTGAAATTATGTGCAGAGTGGATATAATGGTATTATATGAAAACATGGCAAACCGTATCCATTGGTCCCACTTTTGTTTTGTGCAAAAGTGTCTAAGATACTCTAAGAAGGAATAATGTGCTCACTCAAGAGAGCCTAAAGATTGAGGATGAAACGCAGTTGACGTAATACGATCAATTTTGAAGATCTTACAGAGAGCTTTCATTAATTTGCTACAAAAGTTGCTGCCTTGGTCAGTGTGAATCGTTTTTAGACAGCTATGCCGAGATATAAATTGTTCGGCCATGGCTGCAGCGACTGTTGCAGTTTCCATATTAGGAATGGGAATGGCATCAGCATATTTACTAAGGCAACAGTTTTAGTTACTGAACTTGTTTTAGTTACTTACTGAATTGTAAGTAAATACCTATTGTTTGAGTCGTTTATGGGTAATGGACCTACAATGTCCATTTGAATTTCATTGAGTGCAGTGTCAGTGATAACCATTGGTTGGCGAGTCTTCAATCGAGTAACCTTGGTCTCTTGACAAGTCTTGCACTATTGCACGTACTTGGCTATGTCGTTTGTCATAGTCTTCCAGTAGAAATGTTTCCAAATTGCTGCATACATTTTTCTCCACCCTTGATGTCCTGCACTCAGTGAATCACGATATTCTCTAATCAATATTTCCCTTTCGGCCTCGTCAGGAAAATGGTGCTCATTAGAGCAAACGATGAACTGATAATCGCTTCCTGAGAAGGTGTCCACCAGAGTATTCTCAATGGCCTCCCAGGAAATGTCATCGAGTCCATTATCAGACCTTGACATACGAACAGATTTTACCATGTAGGTTTCCATGGCCCTTTTGAGACAGTTCATGCAGGTTTGTACATTCTGAATAGATGATTCTTCGTAGGTCGAGCTTTTCACAACTAAATTTAAAATATAAAATCAATCTCTCGTTTTAAAACAAATGGCTAATCCTACCAACGGATTCAGCTTAGATAACCCTTCGACTGTCCCATACCTACGGTCTATGAACTTCTTATTAATGTCAGTACTCAAGTCGCAATCATCAATAATGAAGTTAATTAAATGATCGCTACTCATAAACAGAAGATCATTGATGTGTTTTATCAAATTAAACGCCATCAGGAACACTTGCTCATACATCACCTACCCTGCTAAAAATGTAGGATTAAAAATGATTAAAAATAAATCAATCATTTTGAATCCTATATCTGAATCCTTCAAAATTTAATTGAAATGAATTAAGATGTTATATTATGAAGCAAAATGATTGAAACTGATTAATATTGATTAAATTAATTAAGATTCAAATAGATTAAATCAAATAATAACGAATACTTTTTAATGACAAATATTCGCATAGAATGTACTCCATTCAATAAATTTTGATGTAATCCTAATATGTAGGATTAAGAATGATTAAAAATAGACAACAATTTTCAATCCTAAATCTGAATCCTTATGAAGTCGATTAAAATGAATTAAGACCATACAACATATAGCAAGATGATTGAAAGTGATTAAAATGGATTGGATTCATTAGGATTTGAATGTATTAAATGGAATAACATCGAATACTTTGGAATCAAAAATATTCGCATTTAATGAATCCCATTCATTGGATTTTAATATATTCAATTCTGACGTAACGTTCTATCTATATCAATCTTATTGAATAATTTCCAATGACTTAATGGGGATTATTGAAATGAATCAACTTGCATAATCTTCAATCAGTTTGAATATTTTTTAATAAAAAATATTCGCATTAAATGAATCCCATTCAATGAATTTTAATAAATACGATTCCAATATAATATCCTATTAATAGCAATCTTATCCAATAACTTTAAATGACTTAATGAGAATTATTGAAATAGATTGAACTTTCATAATTCTCAATCAGTTTGAATACTTTTTAATAAAAAACATTCGCATTAAATGAATCCCATTCAATGAATTTTAATATATTCGATCCCAATATAATATACTATTAATAGCAAGCTTATCTAATAACTTTAAATGACTTAATGGAAATTATTGAAATAGATAGAACTTTCATAATTCTCAATGGGTTTTAATGTAATGATTAATTCCAATCAAAGCTTGGATTAAAAGTCTATTTCAATAATTTCCAATAACGTAATTTTGTATTTTATTTCATGAATATTAATATATTTACTATCTCGGCATGACACTCAATTAATATTAATATTATTGTTTGGCATTCAGCAATATCCTCTATATTAAATAGATTAAATGTTAATAATCTTATATTTTATTATATTTTAATTATTTTTAAGAAATTTTTTAATATTAATTTAAGGTAATAATGTAAATATGATGTCGCTAGATTTATTTATGAAAATGAATTTTTTATCTACATCATCGGCCTCACTTACCTGTATAAATAGTTATCATATACTCCAGAAATAAATAACC